GAGTGAGAGAGAGAGAAGAGAGAGAGAGAGAGAGAGAGGTTGGCAACTGATTGAATACCGGCCTCCAATTCCTCTTCTTCCATATGTTCCTCCTCTTATTCCTCCTCTTCCTCCAAGTCATCCCAATTCTTACTGTTATCAACAAGTTCCTCCTGCAATCAAAGGAAAATGTATAATGAGACAACAATGATATCGCCATCATTAAGAAAACTAAGAAAACCATAGTAACATGAAAAGTTTCCCAACCAAGGAAGATTTAATTGCCTGCCCATGAAGTTTATTATAATAACACAGGATTTATTCTATTAATTCAACAAACCAATTGAAAATGGATAGGGAGAGCATTCTGTGTGACTCAAACAACATAGATGTTATACGTGACCCCACTTTTTAGTTGTTTGATTCAAAATTGATGGCTACGATTGTCCATGCCACAATGTCATGCCAAACGCTGTTTTATTTTTCATTTTTTATACAAAATATTTTTGGATGAAATTTTGAACGTCCCATCATAAACTAGGGCGAACCCAAATAAAATAGAAAGCCATCTACTCAGATCTGATGGCTGAGATCAGGGGTCACATATATTATATGTGGGTGGGGTTACATAGAAAGCTTTCCCAAATGCATACCTCATAATTTGGTTGTTCTTGTTGTTGGACACCAAAACCGTCACCATATAGTGGGCGTCTGAACTACATAATAAAAATTTCACAGAAGCTGTCAGAAAAGAATAAACAATCGCACAGAAGAAGAATCCATACAAAATCTTATAAACACTACGACAACTTGAATGCAAGAATCATAGGAAGCTTACTTTATCAACAAGAGGCTTGCCCCAACCTCTAGGATGATAACCAAAGCTAGCACCAAGTGGAATAGGAGCATTCGGGCCAAGAAATCCAATTGAAAAACTATATCACGCATTTCAGCTACATTGCTCACATGTCTACACATTACAACATGAGATCAGATTTTTTAGGACATGAACATCCATTAATGAAGAGAACATCCAACAATCGCACAGAAGAAGAATCCATACAAAATATTATAAACACTACGACAGCTTGAATGCAAGAATCATAGGAAGCTTACTTCACCAACAAGAGGCTTGCTCCAACCTCTAGGACGATAACCAAAGCTAGCACCAGGTGGAATAGGAGCATTCAGGCCAGGAAATCCAATTGAAAAACTATATCACGCATTTCAGCTACATTGCCCAAGCAATCCATTTCACAGGTCTACACATTACGACATGAGATCAGATTTTTTAGGACATGAACGTCCATTAATGAAGAGAAAATAGAAAAGTTTAGATACCATATACAGATTACATTTTTTTTGCAAGTTAGCAAATGTGTATTTCACAATATAAAAGACTTTCAAAATGAGTACCATAGGCAAAAAAAAAGAGAAGACAAACCACAGGAAAAACAATTGCGGTGTAGGTGATTTTGTTTATCCTTCCTATTTTGGCGGATGCTTTCACTGGACCAGTGCGTGTAGTACGCTCGAACTAGTACATCTCTAAACAATTCATCATATATTTATCCTTTTGCCTTTTCTCTCCCCTGAAATAGCCAAGAAAGGGTACTGAATAAGACACTGCAGATACACCATAAAAGGCCTTTGATTAAGGTTGCAGAAAAGAAAGAGGCAAAATATGAACTTGACATGTTTCTAGCATACAATGCTCATGAAGAATATCATTTTCAAATAAAGATAATTTGAAAGGCAAGAAAACAACACAAATATTGTGGTATATCAAAATGTAGCGAACAAAAATACTCTTCATAAGGTGGTATATGAAGTTGGACAGCTAACAAAGTAGCTTCAGGAGTCTTGATAGTATAGATACTTACAACGGCATCAAGGATAACTTGAGTGTCAAATATATCAGGGAAAAGCTGTTTTAAAAAAAAAAAAAAGCATCTTAAAAATTACTGGCCACATAGATAATCACTGCATAGATTCTGGCCTCCATCCACAGATAAAAAAAATACACAAACTAATTATTTTAATGCTTGTCTACTAGAAATGAGGGCCTCAAAATATTCAAGGAGTTCTAGCCATTTTGCTAAAAGATAAAATGCATATTTTTACTTCCAAACTATGTTAAAGGGCTTTGCTTTGCTTCTTTTTTTTTCGTGATTATTCCCAGAAGTAGAATCAATATTTCTTTACAAAACCTAAGATATACTTTCAGAAATTAATACAATTTCAAAATCCATTCCCATTTTCATGAACAACAAGCAAATGACAAACTCAACTGTAGATATTATGCAAGTTCCACAAGGAAAGCAAAGACTTCCTCTTTTCTTTATTTACTGTGGCACCCATTACTCTAATGGTTGCTTTCACCCATTACTAAATACATTTAGGCTGAGAGAAACCACTATATTCTTACTAAATGGTTGAGAGAAACCATTATATTCTTAGTAATGTATTTACTTCGCTTTAAGCTTTCTATCATCTTCCCAGTGGCAGCTGACCAAGGTTGTCATGTCATGGATGCAAACAAAGTTCTCTTTAGGCATGTTGTTTGATCCTAGGTTTAGAATGGAACTGTCCAATGATGAAATCCGAGACCTGATAATCCTTCTTTAACCCCTAAATCCAAATTTCCTTCCTCACCATGGCAAGGACAAGATGGTGTAGGAGCCAGCTAAATCAGGGTGTCTTTTGGCAGAACATCTTTCTATGAGAAGCTTTGGCCAAGTGATCTTCCCCTGCCATTGCCAGCAAGGTATGGCTCTCCCCAGCCCAGCCCAAAACCTAGGTTCTCGATTGGTTATTGATTAGCAAAAAGGCTCTCATGGTGGACCACATCCAGCATGGGGGAATACACTTCACTGACATATACAAATGTATCATGTACAAAATAAAACTAGGAATCAATTGGGCTAGTAGGATTTCTATTTGCGCCTGGAGACTAAACTAGTGTTTGAATATTTTTGAGCCCACTAAATCTCTCGAGGTGTCTTCCCAACACGCATTTGGAAACTTGCACAGCTTGGATGACTGCAGACCTGTAGCCCTGTTGCGAACCACCATATGGAGAAGAAAAGAATAGCCACAGAAAGAGAGGTTGTAAGGCAGGAGAAAGATAGAGAGAGGACCTTGCTTTCAAATTTGAGGAAAGGCATCGGTTGTACAGAGGCAACGGCGCGCTTCTTGACAAGCTTGATCTGCAACCTGTCACCATCCATGCTCACACTGCTCTGTAGAGCCCGGTGAAGCAGTCCTAGGTCCACTGCCAATGCACTGCGATCATCATTTTGACTAGAAATCCTGTAATCCTCAAAGCGAACCTCCTGCCAAAAAGGATCTATAACACAATCAATACCACACCTGAGTCAATCACTCATACATGACTAGCTTAAAAAAGGATACGAGTCCAGAGGTGACCAACCTTTTTGAATTGCGCAATGGCCTGGATGACATCACCATTAAGAAGATTGTGAAGCAGAATCGCATGGTCACGTGTCAAGTAGACGTGACAGACCCTACCAATCTTGTCAAAAGCCAGAATAAGTCCTGCAAGAACGAGGAAAGGGGGGGGGGGGAGGAGAGAGAGAGATTATCCACCTTTTTCACCATCAAAATCTAAGAGAAATAGTACAAGTAACATTAAGAAGAAGAGAAGGAAAGAACAGCCACTTCTTTCCAGAAGATTGACACCATGGGGTCTGTGAAATGCTTTGAACTTCATTCACCCTTCCTCGTATTCTGTGTTTGCATTGTAATTGAGCAAATGCGGAATCTCACAGCCAGGATGCTTCCCCCTTTCACAAGCCAAGTGAAATGATAGCTCAAAGTTACTAACTCCCCGAGCCAAAATATTAGGAGCATCTTGAGCACTTCAAGAATAATAAAATACAGACAACTAGAGTACTCTGAAATGCAATTCAGATCATTACAAGCTATCCAATCATAACAACTAAAGCCAAATATGCATCTCGTGATAAACAACCCAAAGATCCCTGAAAACTCACAATTGATCATCAGGATTCAAAATATAGTGCATTCCACGTGCAATATCCAAGTCAAGTGATGCTTAATATCCATATAGAGAAGAAAATTGATGACCTACAATCTAAGCCTGTGTTTGATCTATGCAAAGGGAAAGACATCCCTCTATCACTCGGATGAAATTTAATAAATGCTCATTGGGCATCCAATTGTGCATTTGTTCACTTCACATACCAACACTTTGAACAGCATGTCTACATCTCTGATGAATAACGTCACAGAAAAGATAGAAAAAGAAGATATGCTAGCTTGGCAGCCATGAGGGAGGTATCGTATATAAAGGGGTATCCATAACTGGTAAGGCAGTCTATTTTCTTGTATCTTTATATAATTGTTTCATGTCTCAATTCAAATTAAGTCCAACTTGTCCTAGCTGGCAGTTTAAAGCAATGGCTTCGTATGTCATATCTCTTTGGGAACGGCTGCACATGTATTAAGATATTGTTTGTTTTTAATATCCTATACTCAGGTAGGTATTATATATTACGCGAGAGGAGCATCCCCCTATTAGTCCGCCACGTGTTCCCACCATGTTAACAAATCCCTCTCTTTCCCACTATGTAAGATATTTTTGGCCCCATTGCTTGAAGCTATAGCATCAAAACCGCAAGAGTTGCCTAATCATTGATGAATGGCCTTTAGAGAAACCAATCTCTTCGTAATATAAGATAATATTCATTGGTATGATGATAAAATATATGAAGATGACTATAAGCATTTAAAAATGTTACGATATGTATCATTCATACAATTAGAGTGCTCAAATCATATATGCCATCAACAAAGAAAATCAGGATTTTTCCCACTCCAAAAAAAATTAATAGATATTTCAAAAGGAAAAAAAAAGAGAAAACAAAGAAAAGCTCTAACCTAGTAAGCAATTACTCATTTTAATGCTCTAAAGGCCATTCATCAATGATTAGCCTTGGCAACTCTAGCGGTTTTGATGGTATAAGCTTCAAGCAATGGGCAACGGGGCCAATAATATCTTACACAGAATTAAGAGAGCAAAAAAAAAAAAAAAAGAGAGATCAACAAAAAAACCTGTTTCATTTATGTAAATATACTTATCATTTCTCTCGTTCCATTGATGAGCTCAGCCAAAAACTCTATAATGCTTCCAAAACACTCAGGTAAGCACCAGTAGATGCCATTCCTTAGAAGAATCTCTCTCTTAGTCATGATGCATATCTATGAAACCAAGTTGAGAGGGATGTGGTTTCAATACTGGAAATCTTTGTGATAGCCTTAAAATATATTTTCATCTTTAATTATAAAATTTAAAGCTTAAAAATAGTGTAGATCGAACAGATCTATGAAAACTTGAAAAACTTGAAAATTGACGGTCCAAAAATGTGTTACAAATGCATTATTTCCAAACTTGAAATCCATTTCTTTCTCAAGTCCATGCATCTTGATGTCAAGATGATCAATTTCAGGATATTTGGGCATCAAACCAACCTCTTCTAGTGAAAATTTTCAGGTGGGCTCTAATTTGATTGTTTAGAGCCTCGGCTCTATATAAATGTTTTCCTTTATTAATATGGTGGGAGGGAAGGAGAGTAAATTAAGGAAAATAAAGAGAGGGATTTATCAATAAAACACACAAAATCCTTGAAAAACAAAGGGATGAGACTAACTTCCACTGCAATCTCCTAGGGAATCACCCTAGCTATTGACTTTCCTGAATTCTAGGATGCAGGTGAAAATGAATTATGGGATGCAGGTGAAAATTAGTAGGGTGAAAGCTGGAAACCCTGTTTGATAAACTGTAGTGCTCGTACTTTCACCTGTTTGGCAACGGGAAAGCTGGAAACTGCATCTAACATTGTTCATTATGTATTTTATAGATATGATGTGCAAAATGCACTTTAATAACATTTTGTAAGTAAATAAGGTTCCTTCCTTTCATCAAACATAATAATACCAAACAAGTAAATAGATTCAAGAAATACTTTATTGTGATTGGAGATTTTATAAAAGTATGAACCGCCTTTGATGCTACCAATATTTACATAAACAAGAAACAAAATTGATTTTCTCAATATCAAAATTTCACTCAATACACAAGCAGCATGTAAGAGTAAACATATTCCTATTATTTAAGAAATAGATATTTAAAAGTTTAAAAGCTATCCATTCCATTTTGCCATCACACCAGTACATTATAGAAGATTTGCCACCTTTGAAATAGTAACATGAAAGCAATCACTCAAACAGAGAGATAATGAGCGAGAGAGAGAGAGTATAGCAAAGTTTTATTCCCAGAATGGACACAACTGTGTTGCAATGTCATGTTCGTCCAATCTATAACAGAAAATGGGCCTTGACATTCGAATAAACAGAATCAAATGTAGCTACATTGCAAAGTTTTATTCTCAAAATTGTAGAAATAAGTAGTGATGTTTAGCCTGTTTTTACAAAAGTTGCAACCCTACAACTATTAGAGATTTCAATGAAAAAGACATGTAGAAATAAGTAGTGATGTTTAGCCTGTTTTTACAAAAGTTGCAACCCTACTAACTATTTGAGATTTCAATGAAAAATACATGAATTAGAACAAAGGGACCAGAAGCAAGCAATATTTGAAGTCTAATGACAATTCATTTCCCCAATCTATTATGCTAGAGACCCCATGTATGTGTGAGTTGTGACTTGTGACTGCTAGTTTAAGCAGCATATGATGCAAAAGTAGGTTCCAAAAGACAGTCTAGTTATAAAAGACATCTAACAATCAGCTTCTCATTTTGATGTTCTTGAAAGAGACAAACGTCATGAAGAGCAAAGGTCACAGAACTTTGATCAATCAACTGACTAATAAAAATTATTTTCAGAGTTAAATAAGGAAAGTAAAGATCACAAGAACTCAAAGACATGTGAATAGATCCTATCCTAACAATTTCGACTCATTGGCAGTGAAAGACTGATACTATCTTGAAAGGCAACAGAAGACAGTAAATTAGCATGCCCACAATTACATCAATACGCATTGCTTCATTCACTAAGCATTGATTTATGCAAAATTATTGATTACTGATTCATGCAATAAACTTCATCAATAAGGATTGATCCATGCATGAATAAATTCCAATTGGAAATGTGACATGAAATGCGAGAGAAATAGAGCTAGCAAGCAGCGTTCTAGATGTCCATTTCATTGGAAGTAAAATCAAGCACAAGTTCTCAAATACACAGCTGTGGGACTCATCTCCTTTCTCTTTGTTGCTTGTAACGCAGTCATGAGACTATTATAAATTTATAGGTCAATAGGCCAAGCAATTTAAATCCAGACCTCAGATAGCTCCAAAAATCCAAATCAATACCAGAATACCTCTCTCTCACACACACACTACCTTGTGCATTTTACTGCAGTCTCTCTCCAACTTTATATTCGAAGTCTCTGTCTTTCCATAGGCACAATCTGCTATAGTTGCGGAAACCCATCACTCTCTCATACATGTTTCCCCCCCTAGGCAGAGGTTGCTATTAAAAAGATTCCTTCCAATTGCATTTAACTAATAGAGACAACCAATCTCTCACTCTCATCTATATCACCCACACTTGCATAGGCAACTTCTCTCTGTCTCTTAACTCCCTTTATTGACTCAGAATTACATGACTCCTCAACTAAACCCATACAACAAATCTTCTGCAACTACAGACTCTTTCTCTAGCCTCAACTCTTACATGACACGTTGGGAATTGATTATCACATATTTACTCCCTCAATTTACCATGACCAAAAAAATCAATAGCCAACAAATGAACAATAAATAGGCTCATTTTGAAAATTGTAACAGAAAGTCAGTAAAAAATTACAAAATTATAAGAGGAAGTTATTTATCATACTGTTGAGTTCATCAAAGGCTAACAACCCAAAAAACGGCTACAGAATTGTAAGCTAATACCAACTAATTCCATTAGAAATCCATCAGTTGAGATCAAAAAATAGCATCTTGAGCATTAAACTAGCATGTTATACCGCATAGAACTTTGAATGAACAATAGTAATTTCTACATAAATATAAAAGATGTAAGGCTGCAAAAAATAAATTAATTTATCTTTGCAACATGTAACCCTTTTTGGTGACCCAAAATAAATCAGTGATTTAAAAACATTCTTTTTATAGTTTATCAAATCGTTGACCATTATTTTGATACATCACTAGAGCGATTTAAAAACTGTAAATCAAAGAAAAAAAAATTAATGTTCACTCGCCACTCTAGGGTTTCCATAGAATTTAGGTTCACATTTACTACATGCTCACTTTGATTGACAATTATTTCGATAAATCAGGAAACAAAAACATTGTTTTTATAGTTTTCCATAAATTAACCAGATTCGTTTTATTTTTTTTCATAAGAGAATCAAAATTTCCAGGCATAATTTTTATTCACGATTTCGTTGAAATAAAATTTTATTGACTTTTTACAAACTGCAAATCAGGGTTAGGGTTTTCAGCAGATCAATCAAAGCGAAGAAAATGCCAAACCAGGGTTAAGGTTTGCAGCAGATCAATCAAAGCGAAGAAAATGCCAAACCAGGGTTAAGGTTTGCAGCTCAAAGTCAACCCTCTTTAAAAATTGTAAAATAAGGAAAAAAAAATTGATGTTCACTCACCACTATAGGGTTTCCATAGATTTATTCGGGTTAATCAAATACAGGGCAAAAAATTCTTAAATAGAAAATTTGTAGGAGATGCAGAAGAGTGGGCGACCGGGTGGTAGATTGAGTGGCAGGAGCTCAGCTCAGTCGATTGAGTGCTTTTTGTTGGGGAATAGGGTGTGCCCGACTTTCACTAATTTTGCCGCGCGGGAGCACCCATCAGCAGCGAGTTTCCTTCACTGCAAAAACTTTAAGAATCCATTTGAATTTTATCATTGAGAAGTGGTTGTGTTTCCTCAGTGAGAGCAATCTCTCTCACTTGGGTATGTTGGATGTTCAGGTAAAATATTGAACGTGATAGTAGAGGATGACCCATCTCACCTCACCTCACGGATCAGGACCTATTTGAACTTTAATAATGGAGTTTAGAAATTGCAGTTGGGAGCTTTCCCTCGAATCCCTCTAAGTCCAGCGTTTGCAAGCGTCTTAAGTTCTTGAGCGACTCGGGAACATTTGTAAGACTCGTATTTCTTAATCCAAAATACCTCAGATGAATGAGGCATCCCACTTCATCTGACAAATACTTGATGCAGATGCCTTCTAGGTCCAGCACCCGCAAAAACTTGAAAACCCAGAAACTAGAAGAAGGCGATGGAAGCACTTCTAGGTTTGCAGCTTGGCTTTTACGAGTTGTTTTTGTTAAAAAAAAAAAATTTAAAAATTTTCTGTTTTTGTGGATATTTTGTTGGGTCCACAAAGGAGCTCAACTCGGCTTACATCATGTCGGCTCAGCTTACATCAGCTCGGCTCAGCATATATCAGCTCAGCTCGGCTTATATCAGCTCAGCTCAGCTATCAGCTCGGCTAAAATAGGTTCATATATCGTTTTTTTATCGGATGAGCCGAGCCGAGCCGAATTTAGCCGAGCTGAGCCGATTTCAGCCACTTATAGCCGAGCTGAGCCGAGTTGAGCTAAGCCACGCCGAGCTCATTTAGTTGTAATTAGCGCCGATAAAAGCGGAACCGCGCTCACCAAGTAGCTGGCTTAAAGCCCAAAAATAAGAAAATCGATAAAATAACCAAAAACAATATTAATAAAAAAGTCCTGAAAAATAAATAAAAATTTAAATATGTACAAAATGAAAAATATTCGAGCCAAAGATCTTAAAAAAAAAACTGCCTACTTATTTAGTTACTTAATATAATCGAAATTTGATTTAAAGATAAGTAATTATTGATTTCACAAAAAATTCCATAAAAAATTTCACCAATGAGTTCCTTAAGAAAAAATGTTCAAAAAAATATAAGTAATATATTTCTAAAACAAAGTAATTAAAATTTTGATTAATTTTATATTTTATTATTATTTTTTATTTCATTGATCTATAAAAACTAGCACTTTGGATGGACCACTACTTTATATATTAGGGTCTTTGAGTTTTTTTGACAAATAATCTTATACCTTGGTTCACACTTCTTGTTATTTGCTAATTAGTTATTGTATTTAGTATTATTATTGTTGTTTCATTTTATACTCCTAATAAATCTATGATATGTTTTGCGTTGTGACAATAGAGTAAGTATTGTTGCTGGATTTATTGAACGTTTCAAAATTTTTTTTGCCAAGTATTACTCTAATGACACTAGTAAGGTTATAAAATTATTGTTTAATGGCTTTAATATATCTTTACTATAACTACAAATCATAATCCTATATTGTATAATTTATATATCTGATTTTTTCACCATGTTTTTTTAACTAAATCTGATATATTCACGATTCTATAACATAACCTATTTTTTGGCGATCCGTATTGTTTTAACTGAATTTTTCCTCAAACTTTTTGAAATAAAGTTGATTCATTTTCAATATTTTGGTTTGCCAATATTTTATTATTTCCCAACTCGCTAACTATGCCTGCACCCCATTATTTCATGCCAACAATGGACATTTTTTATGTTGATAGTAATGCACTTTGAGAAATTCATGCTTTATAGGCCATGGCTTCCCTAAAAAAAAAGAAATGATAAAACCGCTTCTAACTTTCCACCAAGTTCAGGCTTTAAACATCACTTTTATCTCAAATAACTAGCTGTCCTGTCCATTCATTAATCGACCCAAGGTGGCCCCGAGATCAACCAAAGAACTTCACATTATATATGTCAATAAGAACTTTCAAAGTGTCAGATCCTTCGAATCTGAGAATTCACAATATATTCACCAAACAAAATATATCCAATGGGCGAGGGGGAGCATTCCTGCAATGCAAATTTGATGCATAACTTTGTGCCTAAAACTTGAAATGCCTCTACTTTTCCCTTCCTTTTCCTGCATATTGAGCTTCCTCTTTTTCTCAGCCTGCACATAATAAAAAAAAGAAAGTGAAAACCCTAAGAACAACAAGAGCAAAAATTCCAGCCCACTCCGTAATGCATTCAAAACAAATCTTTGCCACCATGTCACTGAAGCCTCTGTGTTGATTAAGAGCTTCTCCTCCTCCTTTGCTTCCTCAAACCTGAACGATGTACATCCCATAATGAATAACTCACTCCCATAAAACTCATAAAACTTTGCATGCATGCATCAAACAACACATCAAGAATCTGGGCACCTACTATAAAAAAAAACCTTACTTTGCTGCCAAAGTGACATCATCCGAAGCCTCTAATTCCGGCCTAAGCGTGACATCCACTTTATCCTATGACAAAATGCAGAGGATAATTTAAAAGAAGTCGAAAGTTCAGATATAAATCTAGCCAATAATTCATTAATAGGTCGTTTGGGTCCCTGGATAAGCAAATCCTGGGTTTTTCTCAATACTTGGTTTTGCATATTCTAGTACCTAAAAAACCTAGTTTAGCAAACAATGTTGTTTGGCTTACTGCTGGAAGAACCCAGTACATTGAAAATACCCTGTTTGGCACCAAGAAGATGAAAACCACGTTTTGGCTGTTTGTTGCTAATGCAGTTTAGCCGTTCATTCTATAAGTTGATGATTCCCTTGTAATACATGACCAATATAAAAGAATTTTTGGGAATCAGTTATCAATAATATAACAAATATATTTGACGGTTCGGATCATACTTTGCGATATGTTTATAGGTCGAATTATGATTCTCTCTTTCACTCTCTCTACGTACACGACCCATGATAAGTTATTCCCAGATTACATAATGAAAGCGTTAAAATAGGCAAAATAAAACTGGCTGAAAACAAAAGTTCATGTAACAAAAGCATTACAATAGATCAAAGTGCATACACATCGATATAAATGTTCATGTAACAACGCAATTTACATTATCCCCAAATTGGGTTCGAAAGTTCATGTAACAACGCAGTTTACATTATCCCCACATTGGTTCTACGTACTCCTATAAAGTATGAAATGGACTTATTGTTTCTCTCTTCACCTCTTCACTGAAGGAGCTTTGCCAGCCCAAAGTCCGCGATCTTGGGCTCTAAACCTGCATCTAGTAGTATGTTTTCGGGTTTCACAGCGCAATGTAAGACCCACTGGAGGCACTCATGATGCAAGTAAGCTAGGCCCTTTGCTGTGCCTAGAGTAATCTCAAGCCTTTGGTTCCAGTACAGAGTGGTTCCCTCCAAGAACAAGCGCTTGTCTTATGACCTATTTAATAGCTTTTGTAAACCATCAGCACAAAAGCCCCACAACCTCATTAAAAAGTTTATACGGTATATCATCCCTATTGTGCTCACTTCTGCCCAAAACTCTTCCTCCAAGAACAAGTGCTTGTCTTATGACCCATTTAATAGCTTATGTAAACCATCAGCACAAAAGCCCCACATCCTCATTAAAAAGTTTATGCGGTATATCATCCCTATTGTGCTCACTTCTGCCCAACACTCTTCCTCACCTTGCATTACATCATGTAGCCTCTTCACCCCAACTACCCTACTATCACTCAAAACTCGCTTATAAACAGCACCAAAAGCCCCCTTATTGGCTTTGATATACGCTTGTAGCCTTTCTATATGGCCTCAGGCATACCATGTTTCCTATCAAGGAACAACCAACCCACCTGCTAAGAATCCGATGTCTATCCCACCAATTGCACTGACAAATCAATACAACAGAAGAGTTGTATGCTTGCTCTCCCCATAAATTTCAAGCCGGAATTTCAATTGAAGGTAGTATTGATGGGTCAACAACTGTATGTCAAAAACAATTATAACAGTAATCTAAGAAAAGACAAGAATCACATGACAACATGCACAATACAAAGGGAATGCAGCTAACACATTAATTGCAGTCTTAGGCATAAGAGGGGGGAAAAAAAAATAAAATTGAAGTAAGCCATGAGTTCCAAGTTGTCTAACACAAGCAAACAAATGCCATAAATGCTAATTGGTGATGTATTAACACAAGCAAGTCTTGCAAATTTTCCATTCTAAAGCAGACTATGATCTAGTTCATATATTCAGTTTGAGAGAGAGAGAGAGAGAGAGAGAGAGAGAGAGAGTAGTACTATACTCGTAGTTGTTACTTCTTACTTAATAACTACGTAGTTACTTTACTTACGTAGTAGGTTAAGTTAGAGTAGTAGTCG